GAAGCTTGGGGCCCCCCTCCTGCTGGGCACTGCTCACACACAGATCCCGACCAAAATCCAGTCCCCCAGGCGTGCCAGGCACTGCGCACACCATCCCCCACTGAGGTCAGGGCCCTGTCGTCCCTGGCACTGCACTGACGTGGATTTAGGTTCTAAACTATTTAGAACAGGGAAAATTGTTTGGCTTTGCCCCCCGCACCATAACAAGATGATAAAGAGTTTGACGCAGGTTGGGAGGGGAAACTGAGGCACAGAGCACCACTGGGACTTGTCCAAGATCACCGAGCAATGGCAGAGCCAGAACCAGAATCCAGGTATCCCAAGGCCTAGCCTTGAGCTCTGCTCATTGGACCATGGTGCCTTTTGCTAAGCCTTGTAGCAGGATTGGCTGTGTTGTCGGACCTCCACCCACAAGGTTTTGCTGGGGTTAGGAATACACAGGCTGAAACGAGGTCTGATTTGGGCTCAGCCCCCAGGGGATTGCTTCCCTGGGCAGGCAGGTTTGATCTTGCGGCTGTGTGTATGCAAGGTTTCAAGCCGCTCTGGATTTCGGGAATGTGGTGTGACGTTCAGGATGGCACGTGTATTGGGGGTGTGGATGTATTTCCTCTGAGCTGGGCACACACCCAGCTCCTGTTAATGAATAACACTGCCAGAAAAGCAGTTTCACAACCATAAAGGCTGGTCCTGTCCTTATGGGTGGGGCTGTGGGAAGGCAGCCTTGTTCAGTGGTTAGAGCAGGGAGGGTCTGGGAGTCAAGACTTGAGGCTAGTCCCTGCATTGAGACTAACAGTGGAGGTCTAATGGTGGAGGCTAGAGGGCTGGAAATCAGGACTTCTGGGTTCGTTTCCTGCCTGAGGGTAGGAAGTGTGGTTGAGTGGTTAGACTGCAGAGCTGACAGACAGGGCCTGTAGTTCTAATCCCGGCTCTGCTGCTGACTCAGAATCTCAACCAAGTGAGTCGCTTCTTTCCCATGTGCCTCATCTTCCCCCTCAGTGACCTGGCAAAAGCACTTCCCTTCCCACAGGCCTGCTGAGGCATAACATGGCCAGAGCTCCAGAGTATCCCAGGGGCTGGGCCCAGCCTGAGTCGTTTTCCTCCCTGGGGAAGGCTCATGTGCTGGGGCCTGTGAGTCTTACCTTCCAGTGGCTCGGCCATGGGCTTGTATGACAGGACTGATGTTGCCAGGTGCTGTCACTGGCCCTGGCATCTCACCAGCTACCTGCTCCTCTCCAGGGTGGCACAGAGGCTCTTCTAGTTGCCCTGCCCACGTGCCAGACCCCAGAAGGCACCAGACTGGCTTCAAAAATCTGCAGGGTGTTTTTTTTTTTTTTAAAATAAACCCTGGGTTTCTTTTTTATTGGCCGCTCCTGTTGGAGCCTTCAGAGCTCTGGTGCACTCTGGATGCTGCTGAAAAGGAAAGCACCATTCTCGCCCCCCGGGGTAACAATCTTCTCCTCACTAGACATTTTCTGTTCCTGACCCAGCTCTTCCTTCAGGCTACCTCCAGGCTTAGGGGTAGAATGGAGCTAGTGCTTGGCTAGTGCTGACAAGGGTTTGTGTCCCTTCTCACCCGATTCTCACTTGTTTTATCTTCAGCGATGCGAAGAGCTTTGCGGCAGGGTGTGTGTTTTTGCTCTGTGCTTGCCCAGCGCCTAGTGTCCCGGGGCCCTCAGGCATTACCACGATCCAAATATTTTGTGAGGTTTTTAATATTTACTCTGTGTGCTCCAGAGCTGGGGCAGTACATGGGAGAGCGACGCAAGTGTCACTGAAATCAGGCACAAGCCCAATCAATTAACACCCAGGAGTCGGACCCCAAAAAGCACCAGACTGACTACAAAAATCTGCAGGTTTTGTTTTTTTAAATAAACCTTGGGTTCCTTTTTTATTGGCCAATCCTGTTGGAGCCTTCAGGGCTCAGAACAAGCTTTGCACAAAGAGGCAGGAAAGATCAGTGCCAGCCTTAGACTCCTGGTTCCTCAGTTCAGTAGCCTACTCTGCCACTGACTGCCACATAGAACCTTGGGCCAGTCACTTTGCCTGCACCTCAGTTTCTCCCCTCTGTACAATGGGGATAATCGTGCTGCCCTGCCTCTCAGAGGGCTGGGAGGATAGATATACGCAAGCGTGTGAAGTGTTTAGATCTGTGATGTCCAACCAGTTCTGAAGCAGTCGCCACTGGAGTGGCAACTTCTATAGTGAACTAGCCACACTCAGCCGGCCAGATAGCCACATGTGGCTAGCGTGTTGGACACCACGAGTTTGGATACTATAGTGATGGGCCGAGCAGATAAGGGTTAGAAACTTGGGTTTTCTTAAAGGAAACAGAATCTCACGTGATGCCAGGAGCTGGGGATTGAGTGAACGCCCCAGGTACCACTGGAGAGCCGGCAGCATCACAGCTAGGAGCGGGGTAGTGAGCAGCACTCGGGCCTGCCTGCCGGACCCTGCTCCGGGCAGACTGGGGCAACGTGGCCCCGGTGCCAGCGCCTGCCACGGAGAATGTCCCTTGAGCTCGCCCGGAGCCTCGGCAGGGCTCCCTCCGCGCTGCCCCTCCTCCCACTGCCCCGCCTTCCCACGGCTGGTGCCACCGGCGTTGCATAGCAACTGACCGCTCGCATTGTCTGTGCGGGCCAGAGGCAGGCGCCTTGGCAACAGCCGGGAGCCCGTCTGAAGTTTCCTTGCAGGCTCAGAGTGGGGATGGGAGGCTTGTTCCCCAGGCCTGGGCAGGGCCCCTTCCCTTGTGTACTGATGCCACAGGAGGAGAGCAGTGAAATTGTGGGTTGTCTGTCTGCGGGGAGGCAAGTGGGAAGCATGCACATATATTCCCCCCCCCCCACACACACACATGCTCTCACTCTTTCTCTCTTTTCCCCCTCCCTCCCAGTTCCCTGGGTTGTTCCAGACCAGGCCCACTGGACTCCTGCAGTTTGCAGGAAGGATTTTATTTCCATCCATCTGGGTCAGTTTCTCTCCCACGTTAAAGCCAGGCCAAGCATCTCTGTCAATTAATCATGGAGATTGGCAGAGAAGGGAAAGACAAGCCCTCGTGGTGGGTCAGGATGGCTACACCTGCCAAGGCTTTAGTAGCCTCTGTAAAAGAGGATCAGTAGCACCACAACTATTATATAGATGGGGAAACTGAGGAGTGAGTGAGTGAGTGAGTGAGTGTGTGTGTGTGTGTGTGTATGTGTGTGTGGTGACTTTCCCAGAGTCGTCCATCAAAGTTCAGTTTATGGCATAACCTTGTGCTGCAGTGTTGCAAACTTTTGCCATTTTAGCACAACTTTTGCAATATCGGGTTAGTTTTTGCTTCAAGCCCCAGCCCTCGGAGACTTACGATCATGTGAGAATTGGAGCTGCAATTTTCTTGTATAAGGGCGGGTTCTGGCCCCAGTGCTCACGCAGAAAAGTTGGAAAGCACACGCTTCTAAAGGCTCAAAAAGCAAATGGCAAGGGCGAGTCCCAGCATTTCTTTCTTTATTAAATCTCATGATTTTTAAGCCAGTGTCTCAATTTTTGTGGGCTGGTTTCTGAACCCCTGGGGCTGGAGAGACTGTGTGAATTTCTGTCCAGATAAAGAAAAAGAGAGAGGGCTGTGCTGTCTTGGTGCTGGATGGAGAGCAAGACCACAAATCATTGCGGTCCTGCATTAGAGAGAGAGAATGACACACACCTGGTGCCTTAGTGCAGCGACAGAGACTGATCTGTGTTCTTGGTCTTTGTAACATCGTCATCCTGAATTTCTCTTTATAAGCTACGACCACCTCTTCTAGAATCATGCAGCCTCTTCTAGAGTGGAGCACGGCAGCCAATCATGCAGGACGACTCTTGTGAGGCAGAGTTTCACCTACAGGGGCAAAGGGCTAAGGGGTCTCAAGAACTCATGCAAACCAGACAAGATTTTGGCTTCCAACGTACCACCTATGCCGTATGCCTCTTGGGGCAGGTGCAGTCTGGTCTGTGTTTGTACAGGGCCTAGTGCCATGGGATCTGGTCCATGATGCGTTACCGTAATACACTTAATAAATAATGTACAGCGCCCTAGCACCATGGGTCTGATTCATGACTAGGGCTCCTAGGTGTTATCATAATACACCTAATAGATATTGTACAGTGCCTAGCACCCTGGGGTCCTGGTTCGTGACTTGGCTTGTAGGTGTTACCGTAATACATCTAATAAATAATGTACCGCACCTATCACCATGGGGTTCTCCTGGTTCATAACTAAGGCTTGTAGGTATTCCTGTAATATGCCTAATAGCCAATGTACAGCATCTAATGCCATGCCATCCTGGTCCGTGGGCCTAAGACCATAAGCATCTGGTCCATGACTGGGTTCCTAGGTGCTACCGTAATACACTTAATAAATAATGTACAGTGCCTACTGCCCTGGGATCCTGGTTCATGAATAAGGCACATAGGTATTACTGTAATACACCTAATAGATAATGTACAACATCTAGTCCCATGCCCTCCTGGGCCTAGAACTGTAGGGGTCATGGGTGTTTCAGTGCTACCGTAATACACCTCATTACATAGATCACCTAGCAACATAGGGTTCCTGGTCCATGACTGGGCTCCTAGGTGCTACCATAATACAAATAATAGCATCGCCTGCTGTACGTGGGGCTCCACTGGTCCATGGGCTGCCCAATGACAGATACCAACCCTATCCCACAGAGCCCACGATTGAGGCAGATAAAGGGTGGGGAGAGGAAGGTTGAATCACTGTTTTGCTGCTGGGAGACCAAGACCCAGCAAGTTCCTGTGACTTCCCCAGGGAGCATCCATGGCAAGATCTTGAACCTAGATCTCCTGATCAGTAACCCCGTGCTAGACTCTCAAACAATCTGCCTAGCAGCCCTAAGCCAGCCCCTGCCTGTCTGGAGTGAAACCCGACGGAAGCTGCTGTGTGTGTTGGGCACTGGGGTCCCCCGCACGGAGCTTGGCCTGCGCAGTGTGACCTGTCCCACTGTACCCCCCTCCCCGCACAGGGCAGCAAGGAGCGCTACCACTGGCAGGCGCAGAATGTCAAGCACAGCGGCGTGGACGACATGGTGCTGCTGGCCAAGATCAACGAGGACGCCATCGTGGAGAACCTCAAGAAGCGCTTCCTGGATGACTACATCTTCGTATCCTTCCTGGGCTGGGCCGAAGGCAGGGAGGGTGACAGCGGGAACTCTGGGCGGGTTGGAGGATGTGGCAGGGCAGGAGGGAAACTCCGATTGCTCCTTGGCCCCAAAGGACAGCAGTTTGCAAAACCCAATGGGGATCACGGGAAAAGGGATAAGGGCAGCCCCAAATTTTCCAGGGTCCCAGGACTGCCTGGTTCTGGGTTGGTCCATTGCCAGAATAAGAATCTAGGCATGAGCAAGATGCTTTTAACTATCACACCAGCATCGTGAGGGACCGTTAGTGTAATTCGTATGTTTGTAGTGGCCTCACTGAGATCAGAGCCCCAGGCAGTAGAGTGAGAGAGAGTCCCTGTCCCAGAGAGCTCTTAGTTTGAATAGTCAAGTCAGACAAAAAGGTGGGGAGGGGAAACTGAGGCACAGAGGGGGGCCATGAGTTGCCTAGGGTCATCCAACAGGGCTTCAAAGCCAGGACTACAACCCAGGCATCCAGCATGCCAAGCAAATGGCCTAACTGATAGTCTATGCTGCCTTTCTGGAGAAGAGGCACCAGATTCAATATTTCATTCAGCAAATCCCCTAATTAGAGCTGGTTAGAAAACAGATTTTCTGTTTCACGTGTTTGTTTCCTCTCGAATCGTGACGAAAAGCCAAAATAAAAAATAAATAAATTGCAAAATGTAATTCTGAAAAAAAATCATGGGGGAGGGAGGGGGCAATGAAAACGTTTCATTTGGATCCTTTTACTTTTTAATTTTTCAAGATACAATTGAGTAAATTCAAAACCAGCCGTCATTCTGAAATGAAAAATTTGAACTTTCCCAAAAATGGCCAAAGGTGGTGATTTGAGATTTTTGAAACATTTTCCAATTGTTTTCATGACACGTAATCAAAACTGAGACAACTGCAAAAAACCCTTCAGTTTTGACTAAATGATATTTTCCAGTGAAAATGGGTTAAGAACTTTCCATCCATCTCTGCCCTTTATCTCTGCCTGGAGCCAGGTCTCTCCTGCTCTCCTTCCTGCTGGATACCTGGAGAGCAGTGTTCTCTGTAAGTTGAGAGATGGGCAGCCACCCAAGAGAGATTCGAATGTCACCCAGCTGATTGGCAGAGCACCCACAGCTGGCAGTGTGTGTTTCTACTGGTGGTGCACATACACACATGCCTTGGTGCATGCAACAAAATTTATTCTGCAAAGGCATGGACAAGATTAGAGGGAAAACATCATGTTGGGGTCAGTGAAAATGTTTCATTTGGGTCCTTTTATTTTTCTAATATTTTAAGATGCAATAGAGTAAATTTCAAATTTATTTTCCACTGTGCCACAAGCACACAGCACGGCCCTTTAAATTAGAGATGTTAATATTTGGTTAAATAGGTAACCGTTGAAAATCTCGGTGCTTACACCCTGCGGGCTCTGCGACTTTGCTGCAGCATGGCTCCCAGTGAGGAGGCTTTGCTGCCTCTGCCTCAATGAAACCAGGAGGCTGAGTGTAACCGACACCATTAACCCATAAGCATCAGCGGATTGGTTAAACGGTTAGTCGATTACACTCAAACAATCCTACTTTAAATACAGGGTGGGCTATCTGGGATGGGCAGCTCTGGGTCAGGCTCTGAGGAACATCTGTGGCTCCCTGCGTTCTTTTCTATTGCTTCTTCCGCTTCCTGCTGTCTCCGGTCGATCCTTATCTCGGAAACCCCAGACGTACATCGGGCCAGTCCTCATCTCCGTCAACCCTTTCAAACAGCTGCCATACTTCACGGATCGCGAGATTGACATGTACCAGGGAGCCGTGAGTCATGGCGCGCGCGGGGGAGAGGGGCAGTCACGCTGTGGGGCAACAGCCTCCGAAACACCCTCTCGGGGGTTCCCAAGTCTGCTCTGCCCCTCACCCCACAGCAGGAGCCATCGAGTACCACTAGGCAGGGTGGTAATCAGATAGCAAGGGGTGGAGGACACACGGATATGATTCAGATCGTGGAGAGGGCAGGAGCCATTCAGCAGCATGCTGGCCTCTTCCTGGACAGGGCGTCTCTATCCTGTTATCCAAACCTTCGCCTTGCCAACATCCTATCCTTGCCCCCCAGAATGTGTGTAGCCTGTATCTCATACTAAGGGATGAGAGAGGGGGAGGGGTCTGTGGCAGTTTGGGTAATAGGGTGTCAGATAAACGGGTATATAGTGTACGCACCATTTAGGATACCACTGCTGGGTCCATTTCTGGGGCCCACACTTCCGGTGGGTGTTGGCAAACAGAGGAAGCTTAAATGGGAGCTAGAAGAACAATTCAGTATCTCCCTAGAGAGGGTGTTTTAAGCTGTTTAGTTTACCAAAGAGAAGGCCGAGGGGACGTGTAAGAAGTTACAGTGGGCGAGATTTCTGGTAGGAGATGGCTCTTCAGCAGACAAAGGCAGAACCAGAGCCAGTAGTCAGCTGGAAGCAACATTCCCTCTAATTTTTTCCATTCATGTGCAGAATAAATGTTTCTTGTGTGCACCAAGGCATATGTGGATGTGCACCAGCAGGAGAAACTAGGGATTTAAAATCCTGAGTAATTAACCAGTTAAATGTTAAGTTTAACTGGTTAACTCAGTGGGTCCCAACCTTTTCAAGCATACAGACCCCTTTTCAATCTATTAACATTTCCTCCCTGGGGGAGGAAAGAAAAAAGAAGAGAGAAAAATAAAGGACTTTTAAACTTTCCACGGACCCCCTGCAGTGCCATCATGGACCACCAGGGGGCTGCAGACCACCAGTTGGGAACCACTGGGTTAACTGATTGAACGGGGATGGGTGCAGGCGCTAGAGCAGCAGGTGGATGTGGGTGGAGGGCTGTTCCTGGGTACTGGTTAACCGTTACCCTGTTACCCGTTCACGTCCCTAGTAGAAACACCTGCTGTCGACTCTGCTAATCGGCTGGGTGGCATTTGAACCTCCTCCGTGCTCAGCTTATAGGGCTGGAAGCTGCTGAAACTAGACAGATTCGGATGAGGAATAAGGTTTTTAGCAGCGCAGGGCAGTTACTCCTTGGAACAATTTACCAAGGGACGTGGTGGATTTTCCCTGGGTTGTAGTCATGGAATCAAGGCTGGCTGTTTTTTCCTAAAAGCTCTGCTCTAGCTCAGCCTCCCGATATGGGCTAGAGGTAGGAACCTTTTGGTGAGGTTCTCTGGCCTGGGCTACAGAGGCCGTCAAAGTAGATGATCAGACTGGGCCTTTCTGACCTTCACATGACACTCCATCCCCTGCACCTCTCCTCTGAGCCGGTAAAGGGGATTCGCTCTTGGATTCTGCCTCTTAGCTGCTCCAGACGGCTCATTGGCTAACGGCAGAGCTGGGGGCTTTGGTATCCCAAGGGCCACATCATCCCTGGGCATTGTTACAAGAACAGGCAGCGACTTTAATCCGCCAGTCTCTCTGTGCTTTGCAGAGGTGGGCTGGTATTGTTCCAGCGGGGGACCTACAGGACAGAGAGGAGAGGGGACCTGCTCTTGCGGGGTGGGGGTGGGAGACTGTGTTCCCCCTTCGTCTGAAACCTCCAGTGACAGACCAGACGAGTGTTTCCCAATTTTATTTGGCCACGGAACCCTTTTAAACTCGAAAGAATTTTGCGGAACCCCTAATAACAGTCTACTATACGGAGCTGAAAAAGTAGACCACAAATAAGTAAGGATAATAATAAACAAATGCTAAACAAGGTCATGAGATCAACATGTAGTTTAATTGCACATATTTAAAAAAATCATGAATGCTTAAATATTAATTATCAGGGCTCGACAAATTAGGCAATCTACTCGTCCATGGCAAGTAGATTTTAGCCCGGCAGGGCCGCGCAGCGCGGCCTGTGCATGCGCAGTGTGTGCTTCCGCACGGCTGACGAGCGGGGCTTGCCGCCGCTTGGCAAGCCCTGTTAATTATTATTTTTTTAAATCATAAAATATTATTGGAATGGAATTTTCTCGCGGAACCCTTATTTTCACTTCGTGGAACCTTGATGTTCCATGGAACACTATTTGGGAAACACTGGACTAGAGGGATCCTGAATTAGATGGTCCATTGGGTTGTTGCTCCCTGGCTCCTCACAGGTCTGTAGCAGAGTGGGGCCAGCTCCCTGAATGGGAGGAAGCCCAGGGCCACCCAGTGGTGGTGTTCCCCGGAGCAGGCTGCCCGCATTGGTTAACCTACAGAAGGTTTTGGCTGTAGTGTGGAGGTTTCCCTGTCCGTGCCCAGCACAGGAGGAGCTGCAGCCATCAGGGTAACCCTCAAGGAGCCGTGGGAGTGACTCTTAGCAGGGAAAGTCTCCTGCCTCTCGGAGGGGAAGAGAATTTCTGAGACCAGTGAGTCACCTGGATAGGAATTCTCTCCTCCAGTGTGCCAGCTGGGAGCCCCGCCCTGCTGCTGGGCCGCCGAGGGGGCATGTGCGATTTTGCACCCTGCTCCTGATCAGCCTAGGCCTGCAGCACCCCATCGCCCCGCCCCATGGGAGCTGCCTTATTCTCAGCCTTCCCTCTAGTGGCTGGTGCAGGGACCTTCCCTGCTTGGGGTCCTCGCGACAGCCCAAATTGGCGCCCGGGTGCTCCGATTTCTTTGCGGTTTCAGCCTCAGGCGCGGACGTTCTCTGCTGTTCCCGACCGCTTCCCTGAAGTCCCAGCAGCCTTGTCGCTGTCCTAAGAGCCACTTTGATCTGGGCTCAATTGCAGCGGTGTTCGCAGTAGCAAACCAGGATGCCGGTAGAGGCAGCGGGCCGAGTGCCCATCACACTCCTGATGTGCCGGCGTCTCCTCTCCAGGAGATCGACGCGGGGCTCAAGATCTGTGGGCAGATCCATGGCGGGAGCTACCCCCCAGTGTAGCCGTGGGGGCTGGGAGATGGATGGCTAAGCAGTAGCTTTCCAAGAAGGCCAGGGAGAGCTGGTTAGATCAGTCTACTAGTTCTCATCCAGGCTGCTTCCAGGGACACGGGGCTCTAGGCTGGCATGGGGACGTGCTGGGAGGCTGACACAGACTGAGCAGTCTGGGTTCTCTTCCCCACTCTGCCGCTAACCCGGCACCAGTCATTTCACTGCCCCGTGCCTCAGTTTCCCCATCTGTGTAATAGGGCTGCTGCTGATCGATCATCCCTGCAAGGGTTAGTTAATGTCTGTTCCTTGGTTGGAAGACGAGGGGTTAAGTGATTGGGAGAGACCTCGCCCTCTGCCCCCTAAGCCCCGTGTCATTTTGAGGTCTCTGTCCCCTAAACCCTTAGCACGTGTTGGCCAAGCACTCACCAGAGCAGGTGGAAAGATGGGATCCAGAGGCCCCTGGACCTGTGAGCGCTGTGGGGCAGGAACTGGCTGCCCTGCATTTGTGCCGCCCTCACCGCAACAGGGATCTCTGAATGGGGCCCCCTGGTGCAGCCCGAGACAAATCACTGAGAGCTGAGGTCTCCTCCTGGCTTGGATCAGCAGCATGATGAGTTGTTCGGGGTCTCAGCCTAGCCCCCTCTCTTCCCCTGCCACCTCCCCATGTGCAATGTCCCGTGCAGCAGATTAATTGAGTCTCCTGCTGGTGCGTTGGTTGCAGGCTCAGTACGAGAACCCGCCCCACATCTATGCCCTGGCTGATAACATGTACCGCAACATGCTGATTGACGGGGAGAACCAGTGCGTCATCATCAGGTAGGGCGGGGCTGGGGCCACTAGGGGCAAGAAGGGGCAGAGGCAAGGTCCACATCAGGGCATGTGCCAAGTTCTAGCTCTAAGACCTCTCCAGGTGCCCGAGTGGCACACTGTGGGTGACAGGGCAGCGTGGCTCTGTGTCTGGCTGGTCTTAGCCCTCCAGTGCTGTGGTTGATGTTGCTGAGAGAGCCCCTCCCTCACCCTCTCCCATGTCAACCTAGTGTCATCCTGTACATTTTACTGATGGGGAAACTGAGGCACAGTCCTGCAGTTTCCGGTGCCAACCCCAGCAGGGTGGGGATGGACACTGTGCTGGGGCAGGCCCTGAAATCCACTATCCTCTCCACATTTTAGGGACAGCCTTTGTTTCTGACTAATTACCAGAATACCTGAACACCGCCCAATCATTACCATATTTATTCTAGTAGCTCCTTGCCCAAGCATTACCATATTTATCCTAGTAGCTCCCCTCCCACGCATTACCATATTTATCCTAGTAGCTCCTCTCCCAAGCATTACCATATTTATCCTAGTTGCTCCCCCCCATGGGGCCCACCCTGCCTGCCTTAAAACAGAGTCTCTCTCTAGCTACCAGCAAGACTGGAAAATATAAATGCAACCAAACAGCTTTCTCCCCAGCCCCAGCATCCTGGCCTCCAGAAGGGGCTGGGCTAAGGTGGGGTGAGAAGCCAGCATTCCCCTTTCTGTCTTGTAGTGGGGAGAGTGGCGCTGGCAAGACCGTTGCAGCCAAGTACATCATGAGCTACATCTCCAAGGTGTCCGGCGGGGGCCCCAAAGTGCAGGTACCGGGACAGCTCAGGGGACTGGGCAGGCCGGGAACGGTGGGGCTGGAGCCAACAGCCTCATCTAATGAACACCCTGTTTCCCCCAGCACGTCAAGGACATCATCCTGAAATCCAACCCGCTCCTGGAGGCCTTTGGGAACGCCAAGACCGTGCGCAACAACAACTCCAGCCGCTTTGTGAGTGCCCCGGGCTCCCGTCCTGTCCCTCCTGGTCAGGGTGCTCAGCAGTGCCCAGCAGAGCCTGGCAGCCAGCCTGTCCCCTGCCAGCTGGCCTGCCCCCTGCCAGCCAGCCGTCGCTGAGGGCTTCATATCCACGCACCAACTCAGCCTCGCAGCCCTCCCTGCAGCTTCCTCCCATTAGCTGCACTTTATTGATGGAGAAACCGAGGCACAGAGCGAGGACAGGACCTGTTAAAACACGTCAGTGGCAGAGCTGGGAGTGGAGCTCAAATGTCCAGGTTCCCAGTTTCCTCTTGCCACAGCTGCTAGACTCATCTCTGCTCCTAAAGCTGGGGAATAGAACTCAGGAGTCCTGGCTCAAAAATCCTGCCTGCTCTAACCACTAGCCCCCCACTGCCCACCTGGAGCTGGGAATAGAACCCAGGAGTTCTGGCTCCCAGGAGTGGGGATGCTGCAGGGGTGGAGTCTTAGCTGCTGGGACCTGGCCCCAGGGTCAGACTCACCTGGCCTCCCCTCCCGCCCCAGGGCAAGTACTTCGAGATCCAGTTCAGCCGGGGCGGGGAGCCGGACGGGGGCAAGATCTCCAACTTCCTGCTGGAGAAGTCGCGGGTGGTGAGCCAGAACCCCGGCGAGAGGAGCTTCCACGTCTACTACCAGGTGCGTGGGGTCCTGGGATGGGGGGCAGGGTCTGTGCTGGGGCCCCCTGCCGGCACGTAACCCCTCCCCCCATGCTCTTCTTCACTCTCTGCCCAGCTGCTGGAGGGCGCCTCCCCGGAGCAGCGGGAGAACTTGGGCATCACCAGCCCGGACTATTATTATTACCTCAACCAGTCGGCGTCCTACAAGGTGGACGACATGAACGACCAGCAGGAGTTCCAGGAGACGCTGGTACGGAGGGGGCAGGTCACACAGCCAGGGCGGTGCAAGGAGCTCGCTTTCCCCAGGGTGTCCCCGGCCCCCCAATCCTGGTACCCCCCCAGTCCCAATCATGGGGCCTCCATCCCTCAACTCACTGCCAGCCTGACCCAGGGCTTGAGTCAGGGCCTGCCCCATCATGGTGCCCCCACCCCCAAACCACCTCCT